TGTTCTTGATCATGAATGCCATCAACCAATCTTCCACCAAATGCCAATTGAAATTCATGCTGATCAAAAGTCATCACTTGTGAGGAAATGACACTACGTATGGATATACCAATACCTGGACCCTGTGCTAATGAATAAATATACTACTCAAAGGAAGCCAAGAACTACTTCATCCTTTCATACTATTATAGTTAACTGTCATGCTTCTTCTCTGAGTAGTATACATCTGGTAGATGTATTTCTGTAACAAGGACCAAACAAAAATTCCCTTTAGATAGTGATACAAAATACACTTCATGTGCAAACAAGACAATGCTGATTGTAGATTTCTAGTGTTTTGCTCGCCTTGAACTATGAGAACTTGATATATTTTTGATAGTCCCAAGATCTTCGCGTTAACAAGGTTTTGCTAAAGTTCACAGGGATGTGAGCTTGATTCCCCTCAATCAGTGGACAATTATTGTGTAAGTGTGTCTCAGGGATATTGATACTGGGACTAATTATCCCGGCACAGCTGAGTTGCTCAACACCCGGCACAAACACTGATGCATCATGTCGAGTCCGCAGATGTTCCACACAGAAATAGATTCTAGCCAGTATTTGCGACCCCAGCTGTCTGCACATCTTCCGTCAATCTTCATCCCGACCCATACACAAGACAATCTCACACATAAAACAACAAGATGTATCCTCCGTATAATGGTGAAACTGACATTATGGGATGCGCTGAAACTAGCATCTCTCTCCCTCTGTACTAACCATGATGCTATGAAAAACCATGATCAGGGCAGGAAATAATCTTATTACAGCCCTAACCATGCATACTGATAACAATATTACAGTTTGGAAGGATCATTTTTCAATATTGAAATCAAACACTCCAGGCATATTTATCCCAATTAGATTTGATCTGAATGTATAGCCGATCCCAGGACAGAGTATTCTGGTCTTCCTGTCCCTTTTCGGTGTTGAGAACAAATGTCCACGAACTAACCTTCTCTATTCTAGTGGTATCTATTTTTAATACTGTCAGGTCTTGGGAGACTAAATGGATTTTTCTGCTTGTGATCAGAGACTGATCTGTCTTTCATGCATAACTGACGACATAGCTAGGTGTGATAGAATTGATTTATGACTTTAACATATGAGTGAGTTTCAATAGGAAAGGCCTTATCACACTCATGCTTCTTAAAGAAATGCATCATCGAGATGAATAAGTGTTCTGATTATATAAATATTGACCTCTGAATGTTGTGATTTTTTGGAGTGGTATATTATTCAGCGCTAAGATCTAAATGGGGACTTAAATGAGAGACCCGTGTTAGAAGGGAAATGTACATTTCCTTAAAGGAAATTCACAAATGATTTTCCTGAAGTGTGACTGAGAGTACAACTTCATCATGGAAGACATCTCTCAAGATCACATCTTTCCGTATTAAAAGGAACTGAGACCTTCTTAAGATGAATGGTCACTTTTTTATCAGAGATCGTTATGGTAGGGCTTAAACCCCCATAGTAAGAACTGAAACCTACAATCATTTGGAGGTTTGCAATTAATCAATTTCTATGGGAAAATGTCTGAACTGTTAAAGTGGTAGTTCTTCGGGGCGTAATATTTCCTGGCTCAACTTCTGAATCAATGACCATTAGAGTGTGAGAATCTTTCATTGAGAAGCTGCAGAAACGGTTTCTGTAGCTTGGCACCGATTCTGGGGTCCTTTCCTTCCCCGCCTAGTTGTGTAAATCAATACACGGATGCCATAAAAACTCCATATGGGATGGAAGGATGGGGTCATTTTATCACAATAACAAATACAGAGGGTAAATCTTGGTGAGTCATCTTGGAGTGAATATTGTACACTCATTTTAACCAATGTAACAACCTATGCTTCTAACACCACCGATTGTTAAAGATACGTTCAATTAGTAATCAATTGGTAAATTCTATCACAATATGTACACTGCAGCCCATAACTGTACAAATAAAGCCTTTACATTTGCTATGTAAATTCGATACTTTATTTCAGGTCTATATTTTTTCTCAGCCAATTAACCTCCTTATTGCTACAACCAAGTTAGTTTCAAATGTCCAGTTGGGTTAAAGGTCAGTTAGTGACCTTTGGCCTTGCGGAGTGACAGGGGGTAGGGACGTGTGACAGCATGGTGTTTCTCAGACACCATGTTTACCTAGCCCTCTAACTGACCTGGGCTCTACCTCACGCACAAACAACACTTTCTTAGCCTTCCTGGGAGACCAGCTCTTCTTACTTTAAAACTTCTTCCTCATAATTGCTAAATTCCGTGACAAAACACAGCATCCCTGTAAACATAATGCTGTTTGAAGACAATGAAATGTGACAACTGTCATAATCCCAAACTTCTGAAAGATGCAAAGCTGTCAGTGATCAAGAAGAATTTGTATAGTTTTAAATTCTTAAGACCCAACACAGTTCCAGCTTTTTCAAAGGAATAGACTTCCTGCTATACCAATGTGGATACTTTTCTTAAGCCCCATGAGCACATAATTTGTTTATGAAATGAACCATTCCTGCCTTTCATGATGAAAAAACTCATCTTTCCCTTAATTACAACCACAGCACCAGGCATCATGCCTTTCCATGGCTGCAAAGATAAACTGGTTTTGATTTACTTCAGACACAGTTAAACTGAAACAATTAGCTGAAGGTGCAGAAGCAGAAGACCACGACATGATTACACGTGTTTAGATCAAAGCTGCTTATCTTCTGAAGTTTATGATGGGCAGCCGACCTTTCAACACTGGACTCGAGTGAACTCTCACCCCAAATGGGGCACAGTGAGCGAATGTGAAACAAATGTGCACGTCTATAAATCAATTATGTTTTTCAAGCAACTTTATAGGCTTCAGCAATCCTGGGTGTATGGCATATAACAAAAACGTCAATATTTACAAATCGCACATTGTTTTGTAGACATAGCCGTGACTTATTCCCAAATTTTAAACACTTCATTGTCATTTGACGATAATGCTTATGACAACTAACATCTTAAAAAATATAGATTGAATTTGGCACTATTTTCAACTAATGTTAAAACTTGTAGCGTCAACATCATAAAGACATGATTTGCAAGGCTTTAACGTCACAAATGAGACAAATCAATGAAGAATGGGCAACTTTTTCTGTGCCCGTCATCCATAGGCAAATATTCGAGTTGACAAACTGACAAGACCAACATGCACGCTCAGAAGGCAGTGTGAGTCCACACAGCCTCAGTGCACAGATATTTATACGACATTTAGTGAACAGATCAACGACTGGACATCCCCAAACTCCCGCCAAATCTATTGTCCCCATGCTGGCCACTGGGGCAAGTATTTGTGAAAGCTGGTTGAAACTTTGTTGACCTTTTCATAGACCATGTGACTGCCCGTCTGCTCTGTGTTGATGTTCAGTGAGTCATCAGAATCTGATAGCCATACACACTTGTTGAAAATCTTAATGAGACAATTGAGAAAGTATATTGTGGTGTAGGTTTCCCTGATCGTGTTTGTGTGCAGTAATAAGCAGTATCACTTGTCATGACAAGTTGGCACTACCAGGATGCACAGAAGGATGTGACCTATCCCACCGGGTGTCAGGTTGATGTACAACACCACCTCCATACAAAATATGCCATTTGTCAAACAACACTGGCTATAATTCAACCAAGTAGTGACATTCGTACAAAAGAAAAATATTTTACTGTCCAATGATTTGGGACAAAGAACTCAATCATAAAATGCATTACAGACAGCTGTTTTTTTTAACAAGTGCTTAATTTGGGGTCAAAGTATCAACTATACGAAAAATGAAGATCCCTTTATTTATTATTTGGCACTTAACACTGTGACTTAATGGTGATTTTCACTCCATGCATTACAATTACATCACATTGTAGGTAGGAGTTGAGTGCAACAAGGGTTATCGTTACTGCTGAGTTCCCCACTGAGGTTGTGCCTTATCTTGACTGGACAGTAACTGTTCAGCTTGAGTGACCCAGGTTATGTAATAATCTATTGAAGGCCTGTTACTGACACTGAGGTGTGAAATAACAGCTTGGGGTGACTCTGGCTTAGCTGACACTAGCCCACAGCCAGCATGGCCCTGAGCTTGGGAGATTAATTCCCTGGATGCCAAAATATCTCTACCTTGCTGATATTTCAGATCAATTTCTATATTTAACTTCTTTATTCAACTTCTTTATCTTAGCCCCTTTACCTTAAATGAATGGTTGAAATTCTATTACCCAGTTAAATTATTTCATAAATGAATTCTGGGTCTATCATACAAAAATATCATCTTTCCGTTTGTATCAAGAAGCTGTTAAACAGAATTTGGATGTCAGCTTGATTCAGACAATTTAGAATGTCCTTGAGCTAAAATGAAAACACTGCACGTGTCTCGGGAGGACACATGTGTGTAATGGAAAATAGAATTAATTCCGCTTGGGAGGGGTATTGAAAGTAGATATCTGTGACAGACGAGAGTCTACACAATACGTGGCCTATATTGTTGCTGGGATCACCAGAGCCTTCATCAGAAAATACTCCACACGAGAGAATGATGCACAGAGAGACATGGTTTATACGTTTATACTTGTGTCTATGATTGGTGTTTAATACACCATTTACATCTTTGTAACAATGTCAGTTTGTAATTAGGCTGTGTATAGGACATAAATTGGGTAATCAAGAACAGAGCGTGCCACAAGTAGATATCTGCAATATGATCCGCATCCATCATTGTGTTTCATAAATGATTGTAATTACCATACCTGTATAGACAGGTGTTATTTGTGACACAAACAAAAACCATACAAATTACCTCAAATTGATTTCCAATGGTTATTACAGATAATTTTCAGTCTGTTATTCACAATCATGATGAAATAATTGACAAAATAGGCCCTAAACTAGGTGTCACAATCGCAAACAATACCATGTGGCACGCTGTGTTCCGAGAATCGTGTCATGTTCTTACCTCCAATCTTCACAACTGAGTTGGGTTGCCAATCTCGCCAACTGGCCACGAGGGTCAGCTCTGCTGATATCACCAGAAGAACACATAATAACTCCATAGTGCAGGCAGGTCCTTCAGCTAGTCCTAGGGTAAGACAGAGGCAATCAGTGAGCTAGGTTACCACACTACAATAGAGACTGTTATGGTAGTTCATGCATTGCTACACCATCAACCCAGCTGTCACGCAGTCAAAAACTCTCCTCTTCATGTGCTGTGCTAAGTTCTGATAGTATATCCAATCACAAATGCTTCACTTTGCGCAGTAGTATTCAGGAGTTTACTATGTGAGTGTAATTTTGAGAAATCCACACATGCTCTCACAACAACTCCAGTTACAAGCTCTGCTTAGAGTCAACTGAGGCCTTTACACTACAGCTTCCCCACTGGATAACACTACTTAGCTCTGATTGGCTGGCTGGCTTCATGAATATGCATTGTTATTCAGGAGCAGCCAGGCATGAATAAACAGGCAGGTAAGGCAAGGGATTAAGACCAGTGGCTGGGGGTTGAATAAACAAAGCTCACAGACTGACCAGTGAGGATTCAGGGAGCCCAGTGGTCACTCCATGGCTGATAAGCTGCTCACTCAAGCAGACGCCAATTTACAACCACGCTTGCTGCCTTAGTTTCAGTAAGCAAGCCTCAGTAGATAGCCATCTTTGAACAACCAGAGTCTACACAGTAATTTCTCTGTACCACGCTGAGCAAAGACTATTGTCCTAGCCAGCTTAATTCATCCTGATGATAACCTGAATTTATTTAATTCAACAAATTTAGAGACCCTGTATCATAAATATTTCTATTTTCATGATAAACAAACAAATATGTTATCCTCCAATGCATCATGTAATACTACGTCATACAATTTTGTCAACAGACCCCAGCTTGTTTTTACACACCTGTAGGAAACCCCCTGGGTAGTATGTATGTTTATAGACCCCTGGGGTCAATCACTTGTTGAGGAAGCAAAGCTATGACTCAGACATTTATTGGCTGTTTTTCTCCAACAATGTTACAATATTGTATCCTCATTGAACTGTGATAAAGCTAAAAGTCGTTAATGTAACTAGTGACTCTCCAGGTGTAAAATCTGTCATTTCTCCAGAATCAAAATGATTCATGTGTATTCCCCTGTGTCACAACAGGAAAAAAATCTATCAGCGTCAAAAATCTTTATGGGGAATTTACAATGATTTTCACCATCAATTCTACATTTAGCTTCATTCCTTTGTTCAAACACACACACATTATTGTTTGATGCTATTAATAATTCAACATTTTACTTCTTTCTTCAGTCGTGTTTGTTGTATGCTGCATTATGTTTTTATTGATGTAAATAATCTCCAGTGTATGCATGTTCCATACCAGCCAGACATTTAAATAACGAAACCTATTATTACTGGATCAGACAATCAAGGAAATTAAATTATAAAATCAATTTTTAGTCGCAAACAGACCCATGTGTTCAGATGATGCAAGTCTGGACCAATTATGCGCTAGCCGATTGTATAGTGAGGTCATGAATGATTGAAGCGAGCCCAGTCAGTTGTGTAACTGTGGGCCTCTGTGGCTGCTTGTTATGTAATCTGTAATACACGGCTGCCACAGCCAGCTCGCAACCTCTCAACGCTGAAACCACACACCAGTATTAGGAGATTTGTACTGCCTGGATGGGGGTTGCCTGGATGGACACTACTACAGGGGCAGTGGGGTAGCCTAGTGGTTAAAACGTTTGCTCGTCATGCTGAAGACCCGGGTTTGATTCCCCACATGGGTACCATATGTGAAGCCCATTTCTGGTGTCCCTCTGTCATGATATTGCTGGAATATTGCTGAAAGTGGCGTAAAACTAAACTCACTCACAACTACTACTACTTTTGTTCCTATTGCCATTACTATCCTGACAACTGAATTTAACTATTACTATTACTACTACTACTATTTCACTACACATACTTTCGTTTCTATTGCTACCACTATCCTGGCAACTCATCTTTATTACTGTTATAACGACTTCAATAATCACTACCACTACATCCGCTATATCGCTTCATGAGGACAGCTACTACTGACACTACTGGTGTAATAACTACTACTGCTTCACTTCTTGCTTGTCGTGCGCTATTCAGATCAAATACCACACAATGTTTAAGGAGGCTGTTTTCCTACGTCTACAGCAACAGCAGTGCAATACATCTCACTGACAACAACAGCGTGCAAAGCTGATGAAAGACTTGCGTCACACTCCCTCGCTCTGTGAGACATGAACACATACAGTGCATTCTTAAAGATGTAGCTCTTGTTTATGCAAAGATTTAAAAGATAATTAAGATTTCCCATTTTAGTAGTAAAAACAAATAAAACTTTATATCGGGTTCCATAATTTTGAGGTATTTTACACTTCCAGATTCGACTAAAACCACTTATTTATAAACAACTCAATTATTGATGTAAATCTTTCAGTGTGAAACCACTCATTATATGGCCTATTTATCTTCTAACATGATGATTTTTATGTACTAACAACACCTAATAGCTGTCAGCAATTCCATTTTGATTAGTAATTAAACCTTTTTCAGTTTGTAAAGGAACGGCCCCAGCCAAGAGGTCACTTTCTTGTGCGCATTCATATTTCTAACATAAATCTTTCAAGTTTGACACCTACACGGCCAATGTCTATTGGCTATTGTTGATAGTATTGTTGATGTATTATGGACCTGTTAAGCAAACAATAATATCCAGGTATTGTTCCGCTCTCTAGGGGGTGCCTACCTGTGAGCCACTAACGAGCACAGCTCAGGTGAAAAGCGAGTCGAAAGTGACACTAAAATGATAGGAAAGTTAGTAAGCATGAAAAATGTCTAGACTTATGGAGCCAAGATAAAGTTGACATTTAATTCAATTAAAATTCACTTCATACTTCCTTTAAATAAAAAAATCCCACACCCTTCTAACACCTTTTTGTAAACTCTGCAAATCGTACTAATCCATTTATCTTGGTGTCACCTGTGAAGGAGGTCATTCCCTTTTTTGTTATCTCTGTAAAGGTTAACTTTGAAAAACACCTATCCTAGTGAAGCAGGCTTGACATTTAAAGAAAAGTCTTTTTCCCCATATTGCTGTTTTTTTAATGATTATACTCATGCCTAGCTTGGAGCACTTCTGAAAGCAATACCGATGTTTACCAGTTTCAGTGTGTTTTAGTTGTCTGTTTAACTTCTTAAACACATGATATGACATAAATGTGTACACATAAATATTATTTATTTGTGAATCTAATTAAACTAATAAATTGAATTTTAATCTTTTACCATTAACTGCTCAATAAAAGATTTATCAAAATTTCTACATATTTTAATTTAAAATTATTCTGAATTATTAACACAGGATTAATATGCACAGAAATCCTTTTGTTACAAATTACATAACGCTTTAAGTGCCAGCAGGCAGAATTGGATCTGAAGTATTAGGGTCAATAGAGATGATCCCACAGAAAACACAAAAAGTAAGGTGCAATGTTGAAACGAACCCCGATTAGTCTTTGGTATTTAAATATAGAGATTGATTGTAATGGAATTAAACTTAGAGGTATTCCAAGGCTTCACCTGTATGGGATCAAGGTTACTCACTTCATACCTGTTGATTGCAACACCTGTGTGTGATGTAATGGGAGGCAGAATGTTCCCACCAATTCAGTAGCCTCTAGACAAATGTAACAGGAATAAAGCATACTGGCCATCTAGAAATTAGACAGAAGTTGTAACACAGGAATGTATTGAAGCATGTAAATATGTTTAAGTGGCTCGGCTTGATCAGCAGTACTTAAACATAATGTAATTGTTGAGTCAAACTTATGTTCATTGGTACCTGTACATCAAAGGTAGCCGCTGATGCATGCAGGTAAATTGCTACGTTTAGTTAAGGTCGGTATGTTTACATCTGTTTTGACAACACTGGACAAATACAGATCTCTATTGTATGAGATTGTTTTCAGAGGATCCAAGATGTGTAGCAGTCCAGTGTTATGTGAAGGATACATGCAGTCCCTTAAAGAGAATAGGAGAATGAAATTGTCTGGATTGACAAGTGTCCAGATAAAAGAATGGCAGTGTTCTCATAACATAAAGACAACACATCTGGAACCTGTCGGGAATGAGGAGTTTCTAGACTAACAACTAGTCTCTGAAAGGAACATATTTTACAGAAGAAACAGTTTATAATAAAAAAATATATATAATGATAAAGAGCCCTGAGATTTTCTTCATTTTCAGAAACTGTGGAAATCTAGACCTGCCACATATTCTAGACTTCAGTGGGATATATTTGTTTCAGGGTCTGTATAAGGTTAGAGGAGTTTCTGGATTAACAAGGTGTCACTGTACATAAAGTGGTTTTCAGTGTCCCATTCATGTCACTTTGACAGCTGTTTTACCCTCTACACCTAATGGAATCTGTTTGTGAGGAGTCAAGACAGGGGTATTCTTTGACACTGACCTTTCATATTTGTATGTCTATTGCCCATTTTGCTAATTAATTTGAACAGAACATATGCTCAATCATATCAGTTTTTGCATCCTTAAAATGTCAGTTCAGTTTATTTGAATCTCACTTAAAACCATGGAAACTTGTATCCATGATCATCTTGTACCACCTCTGGCTGCTGATGGATGACTACACGACAACAAACACGTTCCTCCACCAGTATTTCCCTGAATTATATCCTGATAAATGAACTCAGATATTCTTACACTGTGTACCTACAAACCCTCACGTACATATGAATACCACTCACGGTGAATGAAAGATTATTGTTGATAATTCATCAGTATGACAATTGTTTATCAGTGTCCGCCACTCTTGATACAGTCGTCAGCTAGTGACAGTCTGCAAGTTCAAGGATAACACGAGGTACAATACAACCCTCATGCGCACTCCATGGGTATGGTATACGTGCAATATACAACATGACATAAACATGTAGTGACGTCAATTGCAGTACCTATCAGTAACTCTGGATTAGCGCACATGGCATGCCCTCTTTTCAACCCAAAGTACGCATATTTCACATACTGCTGCACTCACAGCCTGTACCCGTGCACAGGCATATCACAAAAAATCCCCTTTAAAGACTTTCCATTTTAATAATCACCATGCATTTCTGGTTGACTGAAGCCAATTTCACTCAATTTCACAACAAGTAGGAAGTATAGCCCGTCATGTCATATATCATAAATCAGTGCAAATACATAATGCAACAGTGTTGCTGGTTAGACAGTACACAACCCCCAATTATATTGTTTCCCTTGAAGCCCCATCCCTCTATCCTTAATGTGGTATAATTGGTACATAGTTATATGCAC